GAGGGTCATTTTATCGAGGTTTAATGCTGCTGTTATTCTTCTTATAGAGGTTTCTCCTCGCTCCAAGGTTTTTCCAAACAATGACTGAGGAAGGAGGAGGGATGGGTGGGGGTTTCATGTTGAGACAAGCTTCTGTTTGTTTTGAAAACTACGTACTATGGAGGTTAAGATTATGATAAATTCGTCTTATAGAGGTCACGTTCGTCTTGTAGAGGTTTTGTGCTAAGAATATTCGTTGTATAGAGGTTAATCAGTCCTAGCCCATGTCACAAACAAATTCGTCTTATGGAGGTTTTTAACTTAATTACTTTGTTGTATAGAGGTGTATTTAGCATTGACCTATATGAAAGTGTCAAGGGGATTAAACAAAATTCGTCTTATCGAGGAATTCGTTTTATCGAGGTACGTACAAACGAGGTTCAACTGTACTGTATTGCAATGGGTTTTTCTGATTTAAAAATTGATTTTCTTCTGCATCGTGTCATGTTTTGCAATATAATGTTCTATTACCAAATCAGTGGAAAATCATAATATCACAGTAACTCTTAAAATTATTTATTATGGAGTTAACTTATATCTATTAATTGTTTGGGTTGGTTTCTGCCTTTTTTACCACTTCTTGGAGATTCACTTGGTAGGTGATTTTCTTTGGCAAATAATGCCGCAAACCGTACTTCAAAAGGACCACCCGTTAAAAAATGACAGTTGTTTAAAGATTTAAAAAAGTGTTTAAATTTAAAGAAATTGGCTAATTTTTAAAATCTTTGAACATCTGCCATTTTGCGCAGGATCAACCTTTTGAAGTGCGGTTTGCGGCATTGTTTTCAGTTGAAGTAGACCTTTAAAATGATGTACAACTCAACATAGGCTGCCATTAAAGATTTTCTTCTGACCCCCGACGGGCCGTCCCCCATAGGTGATATCGGACCACCATGTACACAGAAAAGTAGCTTACAATTTCCAGTAACGGTATACCAAATGTGGTTGTGATATCGTTTGTCGTTTAAAAGTTATAAAGTCGTCCTAAGACTTAACGGTCACCCTGTATATATATATACTAGCTGTACCCACGGGCTTTGCCCCGTTTAACTTCATTAAGTATTCGCATGGCTCAATCACGTCCCGGTTGAAGTTCGTTCGCTACGCTCACTCACCTTCAGGTTGGAAATCGTTCGCTGCGCTCACTTGTTTTCAGGTTAGCTCGTTCGCTACGCTTACTCGCCTCCAGGTTGATGTTCGTTCGCTACGCTCACTCACCTTTTGGTTGCAAATTAGTTGTTGTCATACATTTAAAAAATTCATCCCTTTTATTGTTTATAATACAGTACTTTTATGAAGGTTTTTATGTTTTAATATTTAACATTGGAGAATTTAAACGTTGTTAAGTGCACAGGTGTGCTGCGATTGGGGTTTAATACATTTGGACTTATTTAAAAGTAAAATAGTTTTCTGTGCTGCAATCTGTAGAAACACTGTGGGACTATTTCAAATCATGACTAATGCTAATACAGAATGTTGTAGTTATTCAAACGTACAAAACAGTTGGTGAAAGTAAACATCTGCTTTTAAATTATATTTATTTGTAAACATTGTAGATCAAAAAGTCGGACATTGGCCCACTTAAAACCCTCTGGGGCAGAGCCCTTTTGACAGATCTGCACCAAACTTCACTCGAACCATCCTTGAAAGATGCTTAATAATGCCTGAAAGTTTCATTACAATCTGTCGAGCGGTTTCGGAGTCCATAACGTATATACATACACACACACATACATAGTTCCTCTTTTATAGATATAGATATAGTATGTCCGTTTGCATCATAACTGGAGCAAAAATTATCCGATTTTGATTAAATTTGGTACAAACATGTAAACCTATGTTTATTCGAACGAGTTCGCGAACTATCGTGATCTGACCATGGAAACGGGGTTTTATTGGGTAAAAATTTTTTTTATTTTATTTTTGACCCTCAAAACATAAAATTTCCCAACAATCCCTCGTACACTGTCGCGTTCGTCAAGGGCGGGATGTAAGCCTAGCTTGTTCCTTGACGTGTATTCCGGCACATAACTTGCTAACGGGATATCAAGGGTACCGGTACTTGGAGGGTCAATGGTCCAGTAGGGTTCAGTCCGGGGAATTGTGGAGAATGGTGATCGCCAAAAATCCACAAAACTCTTCCTCCGCCGTAGAAAGGCTGTACTTACTCATTTCATTCTGCAGCTCCTCTTTGCTCAGTCTATAAATCCACCCAACGCGCGGTTTGTCGAAGGGTGTGCGCGGCAGGATTGATTCCGTAGACACGCGGTTGGTAACCGTAGTGGCAGTGGTGGTTGCTGTAGTGACAGATGTTGACGTAGTAACGGCAGTTGTAGGGGTAACGGCGGGAGCGGTAATAGTTGGATGCGGGTGGTTGTTTTTGCGCGATGGCCTTTTTCCTGACTCATCTGGCGTCAGTATGTACATAACCGGGAAAAGATACGACCAAAGGCGCAAAAATATTTCCCAAGGACTCATTTTAAAATCATTATTTGGGAAACAGCAAAAGTTGTTGGCGAAGAATACATAAAAAACGGTAGAACTGTCGTGTAATGCTTTTAACCAATCGCATATGTTAAGTATAATATTTAAACCACTGATATAATACCCCAATAATCAATGTTTACAATCGCAGTACTTAAACAAAATTGCAATAATATGTTAGCCTAATGATCGTCGTACGTGGTCTAATCCATTTTAAAAAGTAAGAAAAATCAATTAAGTATATTGAAGTGTTTTTGTACGGTTATTGGTTATGGAGAAAATTAAAAAAAATTTAAATTTAAAATTAACACGTATTCTTTTGGAGAATAAGTTAACTGTTATAGCCTAGTTTGCTTGTTTATGGCTAAATTTTAATCAAACTTAGGAAATTTATTCATTTATATACTAAGCTATTAATATTTTTTCTAAAAAACACACTTAATTACCCTCCCTATAGCAGCAAACATAGGTACTTGTTAAAAATAAAGTAATTGAAAATCTAATTAAGCAAATGGAAATTCACTAGTCTTCAGGTTTGCTGCGGCGGGGGTATTTTATTTAACTGTTGGTTTTTGAGATGTAATTAAAACAATATTTAAATCAAATCCTTGCAATAGCAAAGTATTCAATGGGACATTGTTGTTCATTCTGGATCAACCCTTGAAACCATCGGAAGGACTTAACATAACAAATCATGTAGAAACACTATACCCAAAATGTTACTTTATTATTTTTCACTATAATGTGTCAAAATAAAATATTTATCAATTGTTATCTAGATTTGGTTACTGGTATCGTTATTTTTCTAAAAATGTTTATGCATGTTTACTATTGTCTAGCAAGATGAATCTGTATCTGGCTTATATATATTTATAAATATTTATCTTGTAACTTGCCTCTCATGTATTATTGACTGTAAAAATGGTGTTTACCGTATAAATAAATAAATAAATAAATAAAATTAAAAATTAAAATAAAATTAATTTGTTGTGTGTAATAGTAATAGGTCTAATAACACTAAGATTGTAGGAATTTAAAAAGTATCGTGGACGTATCAATAGACAAGGGCTAAATATAGCCTATGTGAATTTCCTGCATAGGGAATAGGCTAAGCTATTTAAATAAGAGTATTGATGTCCAAATCTCATCATGTCCAAAAGTACAGTAACTGCAAGCAACATAGTCTTTCTACAAGCTTTGGACATCATGGGGTTGGACTTGGTGCAACTACTATTTTTTATAGAGTGTTAAGTCAAAGTGCACTCTTTGTGACGACCAATCTCATGACGTCCAGAGTAGGCTACAGTAGACTCCCTCTTATCCTGACACCTTTTAACCAGACTACACTCGGCAGAAATGACATCTCTTTAACCGGACAATTTTTATCAGCACATCGATTTAACCGGACTCAATCGGCAGGAACTTGGTGGTACTGAAACAACTGTGCTAAAGATTTGAGACCAGTAATCACGTGTCTAAATACAATGCTTTTCTAAATTTAAGTAAAATATGTATACAGTATTTAAACGGTCCGTTTTAACTAGTTTTGGGGGACGTCGGTTTAACTGGAAAAACCGTTATCCGAAGTGGCCTCGGTCCCGTGGAGTCCGGATAAGAGGTAGTCTACTGTAGAAATACTATGTTTATTGCAGATACTGTACTTTTGGACACGATGAGATTTGGACGTCGTGCAACAGTCCAATATTTTTTATTGGTTGTCGTGAGACAGCTCAAGAATTATAGTTTGAACGTTATACAATGACAATCCATCCTTTTAAATATTAGCTTTGAATTTAGAATTTTTTCAAATCAACTCAACATTTTATTAAGTTTGTGATTTAAAGTAGTTAGACATTTTTTTATAGTTTCTGCAGATCAGCAAATTAATAAAGTTTTGTTGTTTCAATTTGGAAAAAGCAGAATTGAAAATTAAAAATGTACCAAATTAACTATATTTGAAATGAAAACAAAGCGCTATTACTAAACAGATGACTTACTGTTATGGTTTGGCATATAGCAATCTTTTAAAAAGCTCAAGGTTCGACACAACTTCCAGGTTGCACTGATACTTTTATCTTCTTGTTAGTAGATAAAAAGGTTGTTTCAACGCCCATTAATTGCTACAATCATGTGAGTATAATCTGTACGATTCTGTTTTAATACATTCGGTAATTTGTTGGTACAGTAAAAGGGATTGACTGGGGTGAATATTTGATCTAGGATTTTCATAGTTGTTCAGTCAGGTAGAACAACAAGGAAAGGTGGACCGAAATTTACCTTAATTGGGTTTAAACTTTTAATCTAGGATTTTCATAATAGGCCTATTTCAGTTGGGTAAAGTAACCAGGAAGATAGACTAAAATTTACCATAATTGCCAGGAGTCATGAGGGGAAACCCGAGCGATTAGCTAATTTTACACTGTTATCAACTTGTATTCAAAACGTGCCGTGTCAGTGTCGATCAGCTGGTGTCGGGGTATTTTCTTTTTTCTCTTGCACTATGGCTTGTTTGGCAGAATTGGCTGAAATAGTCAGGGATGTGTCGGCATTACATATCAATTTTGTAAGTAATATTACTAGTGTACCTGTTGCTCGAATTCGAGCAATTGCGAAGCATTACAGGTGTTATTTTAAAACGAATAACGGTCATAATTTCCGATGACTTTATAAAAGTCGAGTCAAAGATTATGGAAATATTCACGATGTACACAACAGTTATATATAATCAAAATTGTTTGTTAATATCTTATCTTTTTTCAAAAGCTGATCTTGTTTTTTAGTGTTTTCTACAAATGTTTCCCACTCATAGCCCCATTAGGTTCTCTATAATAACGATTATAAATGGGAAAAAAAACATTATTTCTATTTCTTCTAATTCAGTTTAATTTTTAGAAGGCCTATATCAAATTGTCCAGGATTTCTCGTTTTTTTCCATTGTAATAGTTACACCAACCCAAGTATCGTCTACGGATGCAATACGCCAAAGAATATCATCTACGTGCAACACGCCTATGTACAATCTCCAAGAAGTGGTAAAAAAGGCAGAAACCAACCCACACAATAGACATAAGTTACTGTAACTCCATAAGAAATAATTTTTAGTGTTACTGGGATATTAGGATTATCCACTGATTTGGATTGCACATTATCACATTACAACATTACAACATTATATTGCAAAACATGACACGATGCAGAAGAAAATCGATTTTGAAATCAGGAAAAAACCTTTGCAAATACTTCATTTTGACAGATTTAGTAAATCACAATTTAAATATTAACAGCTGTTTCATTAAAAAGTAATGCAAAATTATACATATGGTCATAATGTAAACAAATCTGCTGAGGGGACTTTAAATGCCTCTGGGGCAGAGCCCCAAGGGAATTTACCTCGTCTCTCTTTTGATGGCTCATCTACAGACCAAGGCCTTTCTTTAGAGACCCCTACCAAGTTTGTACGCCCTGCCGTTCTCTGGAATTAGCTGTGACAAAAACCCGTTTTTCCCCCATAAGAATAATATGGGATGGGAATTTAAAGGCCACTGGGGCAGAGCCCCAAGGGAATTTACCACGTTTCTCTTTTGATGGCTCATCTACAGACCAAGCCCTTTCTTTAGACACCCCTACCGAGTTTCTACGCCCAGCCGTTCTCTCAAATTAGCTATGACAAAGTAAAACAGTTTCAAATTAATATATAGATTATAAAAGTTAGTTACCTATGAGAAAATTTCTATATTGCTTTAAAATGAAACAAGCTGCTGTGCCCGTGCTTTGCAACGGGAATTTAATGTGACCTAGAGAGCTATTAAAGTAATTGTGATGTGTGTTTTAAAATACAGCAACTCTATGATTTAATTTGAAAATATAAACTCATTTAAAAGTGTAAACCTACTTACTTTCAAACCCCTACTTTTTATGTTAATAGATCCAAAAGAATATGACAACATACCTTAGTGTAGCAATAGCATCAATTGCTTCATATTGTTGCTTCGCGAAAGACATGTTTACCACCATTCTTCAACTTTAGTCAAGCCTCTTTATTTGTAGCTTACTATATAAATTACAAAATGAAACTTTGAGCAATACTTTATCAAACGTATACAACCTTTCTTTAAAACCAAACATAACCCTCCTAAATCTACATAAAGCGTCACAAACATCTTTTTCGAGTAAATAAATAAACACCAGTTCATTGCACTGACCAGCTGTTTCATTAACTAAAATTAAATCATGTAAACTCTGGAAGCATGCTAGGCGTAGCCCTTTGGAAATTAGCCTGTGGGGCAGAGCCCTTTGGAAATTAGTCCATATCAATACTTTTTGGCAAATCTACACACTCTAAGCTTCGTTTTGATGTGTCATATGCCTATATTTTTATTTGGTAAATGGCCTTAACCGTTTACATAAAATTTGATTGTATCACTTTAATAATATAATAGATGGTAAGTTGAGGCTTACCACAAAATTTGGTTTTAGATTGCCATGCCTACATTAAACATGTAGGCCTAGCTGTTACACATGACTGTAAAATTAATGTATGTTTAAATAACCATCATGAAAATCTATGAAATTTCACTCATCAACCATACACACACACACACGCATAAAGTTTCCAATTATGGAAATGAGTAATTTTCCGTTCAAGCATCATAATTAGTCATTAAATCCTAAGAGGGTGATCAACGTTTGTCTGAGTAAACACAAAGTCCAACATGAAATCGGATGTATTGTATTGTTGATGTATTTTGTTATTATATACACCAATGAGGGCTACTTTAAATGTTTAAATGTTATTACGCAAATTAAAATACCAAAGTACCATAAAAACATTATATTTTATATTACTAAACACATGTTTCGGACATTTATGCCATGATCACAGTGAAAGTTTGCACTTAACCTATTAATTTATTTTATTTACAAACATTATTAGATATTTCTTGTTTAGAGTAGTTTGCGTCATAAATGCAATTTAAGATTCAGTACCTGCTAGTACTCATTAGTATTTGCCTCTCACCGATTGATCACTGCTCAAAACATTCCCTTATAAATTAATCAAGCCCTCCTCAATCAACTCTCGTTTGTTGCAGATGCATGGTGAGAACAGTGAGATGATGGATCTTGCACTTCGGGTGTGTCGAGGTTATCTCAACGGCCCCTGGAAGAAAATCACTGCCAATGACATTTCTGTAAAAAGAATAAGGTAGGATTACCCATGTTAATTTTATAACTGTTCGAAACATTTGTAGTATATTTCACGTAAACTTGGAGTAGAAGAAAATGAATATTCTTGTAGTTTCAAAGATTGAATCACTACAATTAATTAGCATGTTATTAAGAAAAAAAAATAATTGTCAATAAGAAACTAGTATGGTGTAAGTTTGTTTTTGATTACTGTCCAACATAAGTTGTACGGTTTATATAAAAAAAAACTAATCAAAGATATTTTTTTACTTTTACAGCAATAAAAAACATGTTTTGTTGAAGTAGTAACTTTAGGTAAAATTATATAGCCTGCTTTGTGTTTACGTGTTATTTTGACCAGTATGTCAATAGAAAGTCTCTGGGGTCTTACTTAAGTACAGGAAAAACTACTCAGGTTGTCTTAGCAAGTCGTTGAAGTTTCGTGCATATTCTCTATCTTCCTCTTTGTCTACAAAATTCTCGTTTACCCACTTGTCCCTAATATCTTGTTCATCCAATAACAAAAACTTCAGTAATTTTTTGTCCTCATTTATGAGTTTGCTGTTAACAAGTGCAGTGTGTTGTTAGTTATAAATAAGTTTACATCAGACAACGAGGAAGAAATCTTACTATTGTTTGTTGTAGCTGAAGATGATTGCAAAAATAGGTAGTGGGTCATAACATCAACAATAGGTAATGCTATCCTTCTTCGTTCTTGTACTCACGGTGATCTCAGTTGCCATGTAGATTGCTTGGAGTCCTGGACACAAATGCCAGACAAATTTCGCACCGGAACCGCATGTCAGCGGTGAAATGGAACATGCTGCATCTCGGCGGTGCGGTGTTAAGGGCGGTATACCCCTACTGCTTGCACCGCTCCGGTGTGGCTGCTTGCATTTACTTACATTGTACTAAATCACCGTGCGAATGCCGCACCGCTACTTCTCCGCCGTACCACTCTGGCGTGTGCACCCCTTTAAACTAGGGATTTGGCTAGGTAATTGTTTACAGCGCAAAACTTCTGTTCTGAAAACCCAGGTTCAAGTCACGATGATCACCAATTACTGCGCTACTGGTATGGGATGATGCTACACATATGTGTGGTATGTGTTATTTTTGTCTTGCTGGTCTAAGTGAAGGGCACAGTAGTTCGGTCCCTGAGGTGCCGAGTACAGTACATATCCCGTAAATCACCAGTGGATTTTTTCCAAGTTATAATGCCACAACATCTAGGTCTAGTCTCTAGTAACATAAAACACAATCCCAGGCTATTGCCTAGTTAAAGAAAAAAATCGTTAATCAATGATGTTCAATTTATCCTTCTTACATTGTAATGTAACATACATTGTAATGTACATAAATATGTGGGTAATATTGTAGTCAGTTGTCTCCATATTGTATAGACGCTTATTGAAATTTTTCTGTTAGTGTCTACGTCACTAGAAACATTTTGTATCAAATAACTATAACCCCTCAAATTGTTTTCAATATTCTTAGAATTGAACCTGTCCCTTCCAGATTGAAGACTGAGGCACTAATAATAGTTAATATGGTTCTTGCATAAATGTTTTTTAAATATCAACCATTTACTACTACACAGCAATTTTCAAAAGTATGCATCTCATTATTTACGATGGCTCCAGAGGGGAAATCAGAGACGCAGTACAGCCTACATTGCGTAAGTTGGTAGACGGCCAAGAAATGAATCAGGCTCATTTTGCGCCTCAGAAATAAGCCTGCAGGGCATCTCACACGAGAGCCAAAAATAAAGCTGGATTCAAAATCATTACTTCTACTGAAATAAACACCTTGTGATTGTTGATCACGTGCAAGAACTGGTAGGCCGAGACCTTGGTTGAGATAGTTTTGAGACATTTAATTGAGTTAATAGTAGCTAGTAGGCGTAACTGGTAGATTGTTTATATTTTGTTTGTATTTATACTTGTTGATATGATGATAACTAATTTTCTGTAGCAATCTTTATGAACTTGGATAGAATGTTTCTTGATGGATTTTGACATGGGCCAATAGGTTGATAGGTTGATGGGTTTCGACAGTTTTTAGTTCTGTGTGATGGTTACATGTTATTTGGGCTCAGATTGGTTATTTTTTATCAGTGTACATGAGTAGTTTGGTTGGATATAATAAATCAATTCAGTTGTTTGAAAATATTGTATTCTTAAAGTTTATTCAAATCTTAGCGTCCTGTTTCTATTTCCAAGAAGAAAAAAAAATGTCATTAGTTCTTTATCCTGTGTTACATCGTTGACTGATAGCTTATGCATTTATTAAATCTTGCATTCATTCATATATTGTTCAAACAAATTACAAATTAGGTATATGTATTTACATCGTATTACAAAATTAAAAAAAATAATCCTTCTAGGGATTGTGATTAAAACTAATGAATCAATAAAAAGTTTAACTAAATAAATTTTACTGTGATAAAAAGGATAGCCTTATATTATTTCTCCTCTTAACTAAAACTCTTTCTCCTATTTTATATTTGTGAATTCAAGTTGGCGGTACTTTACTATAAAACTACCAGATGATTATTATAATGGTATATATGGGGTTTTCCATTATGTAATGCCATATTCTAGCCTTGACTTTTTGATAAGCTCAATTTGTTGTTATTTTATTGACTCATGGCTCATGATTACTTCAGAATCAAATGATTTCTCAATAAGTATGAACGTTTTAATGATCATTAATGCTACTGTACCTTTTACTTATTAAAACAAATAATAATATTATTTATATTTTTTCTGTAAAATAATAGGATTTTTTTGTATCATTGTCATTGACATTTTGCAAAGATTAACTTAAATTCTGAACCACTAATTACAATGAAGATTTAAGAATCACTAGTTAATTCAGTTGCTTTTAACGAATTTCCCACATACTGTAGGGTACAAATAAGCTATTACCTTAGGTCTCATGGTAAAACCTACACCTGGGATTGATTTACTTTTTTGTTTTGATGTCCTCATAGGCCAAAAACACCATCCGTTAAAAATGTTATACTGCCTATATATTTATTTTTTAAAATTATTTATCCATACTATATGTGTGTGTCCGTAAACGCAATAACTTGAGTAACTTTTATCCGATTTTGATAAAATTTGGTTTGAAGGTGTTAGGCGTGAGAAACTTGAATGAGTTTGTGAACTGGCATGATTGGACCATGGGAACTGGGTTTTATGGGGTAAAAATATGTTTTTCTTATTTTTACCCCCCTTAAAACACAAAATTTCACAATTTCTCTCAAGACTATTTAATAGAGCTTAAAGATCTAATAAATTTAGTAAATCAAAGTGTTTTTGTATGGTTATTGGTTACGGAGAAAGTTTGAAAAATGTAAGTTATGGATAATTTCACAAACTCATGTTTGATAGTCTTTCAACCTAGTGTGGTTATACATTTATTCAGCAAAATCAAGGCCCATTGAGGCTTTTCAAAATTATAAATATTTAACAGGTCAGTTTGTAGTTTGAATATTAATGTGTAGCATGTACACATTTTAATGATTATTAAGGAATATTTTGAACTTTAATTGAATTCCAATTGCATTTAGTTGAACTTGATTTTGTTATTTTACTGATAAGTTATTGGTCACATGTAACTCATATATATGTGACCTGAAATGTCAGGTATACTGGGTTTTCTAAAAGTCTGGACACCTCTTAATATCTTTTTAACCAAATTGGTTAGACAGATCAAACTTTGCACAACTTTATATAGTATGTATAAAAACTACTTTTTGCAAGCATTAACATTTTTTTACCTCCACGGGGGACGGCCCATGAGGAGTAAGTTTGCAAAATGTTTAATGTAAGCATAGCATGCATTATGTGCATATGCACATAATTTTAAAGGGCTGGTTAAGTGGAGTTCAATGCAATCCGAGTCCCATGGCTGCCATTTAAAGTTTCTATTGATATTGGTGTTCAAACAAGTCAGGAAACCCCTTTATTTATTTTATTAATGAACGCAGAGCAATGAAACTATAGGATTACGTCCTCACTGTAGTTTTTACGTTTGAGAGGCTGTCATTTCCAAACAAATGGCCCATTTCAGTCTGGTTCGCGGCAATGTGTTCCTCTATGGAAGACCTTCAAAATGAGATATAATTCGACCTATCCTTACGTTTAAGTTTTTAGACTTCCTCCGCAGGACGTCCCCCCAAAGCGTAAAAAGGCTGTTAAAATGGTCAAAAAGTCAGCAAACTACAGTGAGGGCGCAATCCTATAGTTTCATTGCTCTGCATTCATTAACAAAATAAAAAAGGGGTTTCCTGACTTATTTGAACACCAATAGCAATAGAAACTTTAATAATGACCGCCATTTTGCTACGGGTGAAACTGAACCTTTTGAGACATGGTTTCCGGCATTGAACTCCACTTAACCAGCCCTTTAAAATGATGTGCATATCAATCTACACTTACATTAAATAATTTGTACTCACTCCTCATGGGGCCATCCCCTCGTGGAGATAAGAAAAAAATAGTTGTTATACGTATATGTAGTTGTGTAATGTTTAATTTTCTAACCAATTTGAAAATTGGTGTCAGTGTCACGGAATTCATTAAGTCCAGACGTTGGTCCACACTTTTTGAACACCCGGTATGTGTTATCATAGCTGACAGTGTTAGGACTTAGTAAAGGGCAATAGCCAGCCCAAACTTAGTTTGTTATGATGTTATGACGATTTTGTACAGCATGCTCAGCAGCTACGCAATTCTGTATAAACAATTAACTTTTCCTACAGTTACCTAACAATGTACATGTTCTCTCACTGATTTGAGAAAGCAAAGTGGCCAATTCGCTCATCAGTGAGCTAATTACTTTGTCTCACTCCAGATTTGCAACGTGAAGGCACGAAATAGTGAGTGCGTAACATGCAGACAACGTCGTATGCGCGCAAAATACGTTGGCAGCACTGGCTGTAAATCAGCTGGTCAGCTGTTGTACTGTTGTATTTGTCACTTTACATTAAATCTATATAATTAATACGCT